TAAAACAACGTCAACACACGCAATGTTCTGATTGTGCCACAAACGCAGTAGCCATCCTTACCTTTCACAGAGGCACTGAGTTTTATAAATAGGAGCATGATGATGTAGAACAATCATATCCAAGGACCAGTGGTGGGTTTCAAAAAATTTTGGAACCTCTTCTGTAGGTGTGGCCTGCTTTCCGGGTCCACTGGTGGAACCTCTTCTAACCGGTTGGGTAGATTTGACAAACCGGTTCTACCGAATAGGCGCGAACTGGTAGGAACCCACCTCTGTGTGGGTGCCCAATCGCTGGAGGCTTTTAAGGAGTGGACAGACATTTCTCTGAAATGGTATACGGTCTCTGCTCGAGCTTGGGAGTTGGACTAGATGACCTCCAAGGTACCTTCCAACTCTGTTATTCTATGTTTGGATATACATTTAATAGACCCTTTTGGTGCAGCTTTATGGAGGGCCAATAGCAAACTCATCTAGCATCAGACTTTCCAATGCAGGAGTTCCAGTATAGCTGTTTTCTTAAGGAATCATGCTTATTAGTCGTAAGTTAAGACATCTGAACAGCACCAACCAAGAAGAAAATATAAGGAAATTCAAACTGTTCCACCCTATTGCCTGTGCTTTCCTTTGGTCATTATGAACTGTACTTTCCAAGCTGTAACAACTCAACATTTTCTACATTTCCCTCAACAACAGGCAAGCCTTTTCTTTGATCTGAGAAATCTATTTTCCCAACTACTTAGTATTTAGGTTTTTGTTTTTTGTTTTAATTCTATTTCTTTTTAATTTGGCCGTCTGGTACTCATGGAGAGGTTGATGTGACCAACAGATAGTACTGGGCAGTGGGGCGGGGAGAGAAGCTTACTTTTAATTATTTTGCTATGTGCATCACCTACTTTTTCAAAAAGTGAAATTTCAATTTAAGAAAAGATAACTATTAGGCACATCATGGTACTGAAATAGTCTGAGAAGCAGCCACTTCAAAATGTCAGGAAAATGAGAATAAGAAGTGGAGAGAGAATAAAGGATGTTATCTCTCTAACTATATTGTGCAAAGTAAACCATTTGGTCAGACCAATGGAAAATTTATACAACAAAAAACAGGGCACTAGCTCTTCACAGCTTACCATCAACAAACTGATTGCCCTAGAACCTTCTACCTGGAAATATTCTGTATTACCATATAAACCTAATAATTTTAAAGCTATTTTATTTTCCCAAAGAATCTTGGAGATTTAAACCTTTAATCTTGGAGATTTTACCCTGAACATGCTGAAACAATATAGGACTTCTAACATACTTGTTCAAACATCATGTAAGGGAAATTATTAATAAATAAAATTACAATTAATAAATTGTCTGGATTTGATTTTTTTTTTTTGCACAATTTGAAGCAATTCACTAAAGTTCAGTAACTAAGTTTTTTCTGGAAATATCCCTTTTAAAGAGTTGTATAAATACTAAATTCCTTTAAATATAAATCTCTTTTACAATCCCTATGAATATTGTAAGAATATGTTAGGGTTATAATATGCTAACTTTAATCCTAATATCAGATTGCTATATGATAAATCCCATCCCAAGTACCCTTAAAATTCATCAGAATTAATTTTAAATTTTTTTTAATTTTTTTTTTTTAATATGTGGATTATGACTGTTCAAATTACTGGATTCAAATCACACAGTCTGGTGGAAATGGAAAGTAATATAAACAAAACTAATAAAACATTAAAAAAGAATTAATTTTAATAGATCTTTCCTGGAAGATCTGAAGGGCCAGTTTGGAAACAAGTCATCCTAAAGAAAGGCTATTTGGTCATTAAGGTCTTTTTGTTTGCTTGCTTGTTTAAATTTTGATGCCACCCATCTCCTCTAAAAGATGACTCTGAACTGATGCTGACTTGATGGCACATAATCAATCATGTCATTATATTATAAATATTCAAAAAACATGTAATATTACTGTTTGCACAAAGTTGTGCCTCTTTTCAACATATAACTTTTGAGAATTGAATATGGTAGCATTTGATAGATGGCACCTAAAACTAATTAGCTTTCGACTATATTTCAGAGTACAACAGACATGCAATTTTATTTTATCCGATCCAACCTAAGCGTAGTACATAAAATTATATGCTACAATGTCCTACCTGTCAATGAATACTTCAGCTTCAACCACAACAGCAACCGAGCTCACAATAGATACAAACCTATGGTAAATTACTCCAAACTTGATTGCAGAAAATACGATTTCAGTAACAGAATTGTCAATGCCTGGAATGGACTACCTGACAATGTGGTTTCTTCCCCAAACCCACAAAAACTTTAACCTCACCCCATTCCTAAGAGGTCTTTAAGGAGCATGCATAAGCGCAGCAGAGTGCCCACCATCCCTGTCATATTATTTCCTTGTATTTGTATCCATTTCATATAATCATAATCATGTTTATACATATATCTGTTAACTAATTCATGCTTGATGAAATAAAAAAAAATAAGAATCTAATTCTCTATGTTGATATGCCTTCCTAGCTCTCTGTGTGCTATCAAACGTGTACAAAGTGAAAATGTCCACAGAGAAGGCTATCAGAGAAGACCAGGTGGAGATTTTGGAGTACAACTTCACCAGAATCAGCAAGAACCCTGATCGTGCCACCCTTGATCTCATCGCTGCTGAGGCGGGGCTATCAGTAGAAGAGGTTCTAGTGAGTAGTCGTGTCTTTTAACTTCAAATACAATCATTTGTATCTTGAGGTGATCCATTCATTTCTGGACCACCTTTCTCTCAAGTACCATATTGCTTCCTAGTAAATTATTCCTTCTCATTTCCTCCCAGCATTTGCTAGGGCTAAAAGGTGCATCACCTGCTAGAACCGTGATGGTGAATGTATGGCATGTATGCCAGAGGTGGCATGCAGAGCCCTCTCTGTGGGCACACACACCAACGCCCCAGCTCAGCCAGCTGGCCGTCGGTTTTCTGATGTGCGCATGCACGCTGGCCAGCTGGTCGTCGGGTTTCCAGCTCTCTGGCGTGCACACAGGCCCTCTGGTTTGGGCACTCTGCCAAAAGGTTCGCCATCACTGTTCTAGAACATATGAGAGGGGAATGAGAATTTGCCTATAATCCCTTCTGTGGAATCAGAATCTTCTTACTGATAGAAGGAGACCACTGTGGGATGTTTATGGTGGGACCAATATCATAGCTACCAATTCCACAGTGGATCAGAAATGGAGTGGTAGAATGCTGTAGAGGTGGTAGAATGAATCACAGCACATTTGACTACAGATAAGAGAGCTCAGTTTTTTTTAAAAAAAACAAAAAACACTAATTCATCCTCCTTCAATACACCAAACAAGCAATAGGGAATGGGCTGGGGAAGCATTTCTCTCTTTGACGAAAGCTTCCCCCCCACACACTTTTTTTTAGTAAGGATTCAAAACTTTTTTTTCTTTTACTAATAGGTCAAAATGATAACGCCCATTCCATACCTATATTTTCCCAGATGGAATGGCCTTTCTTTTTTTCCTCTCCTTTCAAAACCTAGATTCTCTGTAGCTCACCACTCATTTTACTATTGCCTGCCAAACTCTCATTGTCTTGTGTCCAGTACTAGGAGTCCTCCTGTCAGAGTTCCAAGTAACATACAAGAGCAAGCAAAACTCTGAGGCAGGTAGATTCCTCAAAGAATAACTTTATTTAGTTATTTGTTTGTTTATTTATATGACATATTTTATACCTGTAGCCACTGTCCTCTTTACTCATTGGGAAACGTTCCTTTATTTCTCCAGGAATGGTTCAAGAAGCGGCTGGGAGAGTGGAGGAAATCGGAAGGGCTGCCTTCAGAATCCAGGTCTGTCAGAGATTGACTAAAGCTCCCCCTTTTGGAGACATCCCTGGAAAACGGACAGCAGCTCAGTTATCGCTCTCTCTGTGGAATGTTAATGTCAAAAATATTTTTTCCTATTATTTAACCTACTGCTTATTTAAAATGTATATACTAGAGGTGGACAATAAGTATATGAAATTGTGCATGCTGATTGTAATGTAGACGTTTATGAAACTTACAAGGAAAAAGCTACAAACTCTGCCTATTGCAAATACAGTGATAACTTAATGGAGTGGATCTGGTTTAATATTTCTATTAATTCCAACAAAATTGATAGGAAGGAGCNCATTTGTGTGATGATCTTATGCCACATAGTTTACCATTTTTCATGTGGGATGTCAAGTCCCTTTTAGATGGCACCAAAAGTTTCCATAGGGTTATTTTCATCATCATCTTTCTGCAAAAGGCTGGATATTGCCAAGTTAAATTCGATCTGGTAATTTAGATGGAGACAGCAAAAATCATTGATTTCTTTTTGTGGCTTTATTTTCTCTGAAAGTTTCCTTGCATTTCTGCAGTGTAATTTTGTTGGGACTGAAATACAATAGGGATGCATGCAGCCATTTATAAGCACTTGGAGGATTATGTATCAAGGAAGAGAGAGCGCTAGTAACTACAAACATTGAACCTTTTTACCACTTCTACAGTCTTATATTTCCCAACTGTTGTTTGTAGGCACAGACTGTTGGATAAGTTCAGTATGAAAAAATTGAATGTCCTTTGCAATCCGGTATTTAACCATGCTGAGCATGATATAGAAAACTGGAGTATATTACTACACGCTCCCACTCCCAAAGCAAGTATTTTTAGTTCGGTTGGATATAATTAAGCCATCCATATAACACTAATTGACTTCTTCTCCTGGAAGATTATGTTCATAAAGATTATAGCAAATCCAATTCAGTCACAGGCAATGCTTCTAATGCAAAGCAAACGGTCTGCCCCTTTCCAAATGGTAGACTTTAATTCCTTTTTTGTTTTTTGAATGAATACCCTCTAAACCAGTGATGGCAAACCGTTTAGGCACCGAGTGCCCAAAGTGCGTGTGTGCGCCCAAATGCAAAGAGTGGGCATATGCGTGTGCACCCCACCCAAACTTCAAGGTGTGGGCATATGCACACATGTGTCATGCACATGTTCCCCACACCTGTATGGCAGACACCCAAAGACCAGTTGGCCGGCAGGAGGCACACACACATGAGCAACAGAGACCCAAAACAGAGCTGGGTCAAGGGCGCACGTACCCACAGAGAGGGCTCTATGTGCCACCTCTGGCACGTGTGCCATACATTTGCCACCACTGCTCTAAACTGAAAGCTTTGATAAGTAGGGATGGACATCTGCTGGAGGGTGCCTCAAAAAAGATTAAGAATGTGGGTGGTATGCAAATGAAGCTGTGGGTGCAGTGGTGGGTTTCAAAAATTGTTCGAACCTACTCTGTGGGTGTGGCCTCCTTTATGGGAGTGGCTTGCTGCCCATGTGATCGGATGGGAGTGGCTTGCCACCCATGTGACCGGATATGAAGATGCCGATGACACTTGTCAGAACCACCTTAAATTACCTCACACACAGCNCTCATTTTACCCACCTCGGAAGGATGGAAGGCTGAGTCAACCCTGAGCCGGTGAGATTTGAACAGCCGAACTGCAGAACTGCAGTCAGCTGAAGTAGCTTGCAGTGCTGCATTTAACCACTGCGCCACCTCGGCTCCTGGGTTTAACTTTTTATTATACTATTTCATTATTTCTGTTCTAAGTATATTAACATTTTATTTATGTACTGTTTTATGGCATTATTTTTAATCCTGTTTTTCTTTTATTGTTGCTTTGCTTTTTGCGGTATATTGATTTTTATCTTGATTTAAATTCTATTGTTAGCTGTGGGATGACATTGGATCAAGAGAAAATACAAATCAAACATTAATATTTAAAAGTCAGGCTCCTGCTGAAACATGAATAACTGTGTTGTTAGCTAAGCTGATGTTACTTTTCAGATGTTATTATGCACTTGTGGAAGTCAAAACACAACAGTACAAGAAGTAGACAAAGCACGCCACTATAGTTCCTTTAATTTATTGAAAACGCCACGTAGAGTTAGATGTGGGTGATCAGTGTGATCAACGAGTAATTGGTTGTGCTAAGGTCTTGACTCTTTCTGTACAAAATGCTCTCTTAGCAGACTCCTTTACAATAAAGGCATCTGGATTAAACTGCACAAGATTGGTTGGGGCCCTGACAAAAGAAATATGAAAAGAGTCATTAGCCTCAATGCTGCTCCTTTTTTATAAAGCTCTCTGCAAGATTAACAAAGAAATCCAACCGGAGAGTTTCACATGCTGGATTGGGGGTGGGGATGGGGGGGAGGATTAACACTACTAAAATCTGTGCTGTTTTCTTAGCAGATAATTTTTCTGTCAGTAGGATAATAAACCTCCCAGGACTGGTTCTAAATTTCTGCAAACCAGTCGACAAAACATATGTCATGCTTTCACAACACAAATCTTTTTGCACTTGTTTCCTGATGTTGTTGTATGTAACTCATGAGGTTTGCGCTGTCGTAAGTCATAGCATGTGTTTTGTTACTAGCTTCTTGTCCCTATTATTATGATACCACTGTGTTTTCTGCTGCTTTTTAAAATCCCATTGGCTCAAGCAGAAGAAAAAATAATTTTAAAAAATGATATTCTGCGGTAAAACAGTAAAAAAAGTAGTCTGTCTCTCCATCTCTATATGCAGTGAAGTGAATATCTTTCCATTAACAATCCAATTCAGGAGGGCTCTTTCTTCTCAGCAAACCTAATAGTTCCCACTGACGTCATTGGAAAGAATGCTATTTAGTCACCTGTCAAGCAAATAACTGGAAAGAATACAGTTTGCAAAACAATACAGTATGTCTAGCATAGGCAGCTATGGATGACATGCTGAAAAAAGGCACTTCAGGCATTTATGAAAGGTGAGCAAAGGTACCAATTGCCATCGGCTCCATATATAGAGATCGATCCATTTCAAACAGTGGTGGGACTCAGCCAATTCGCATCACTTTGGGAGAACCGGTTGTTAGGTTTCTGAGCAGTTTGGTGAACTGGTTGTTGGAAGAAATCATTAGGGCAGAGAACCAGTTGTTAAATTATTTGAATCCCACCCCTGATTTCAAAGGATTGCCAAGTTCATTAAATGAAGGAATCATACAAATATATTTTCATAACTTTCCTCATACATTCTTCCTTACTAATTTTAATGGACAAAACAATGGAAAGAATAAGACACTGCCATGAGATGCAGTGCATGCTCAGAGGGTCCTTCTGCCCATAGGTCCCTCAGAGCCTTCAAAAGTTATCTACAGGCCAAGATCCTTTTCCTCAATTGGAGAGTTGGTGAGACCATCAACACAGCCATCAGATCATCTGGGAAAGCCTACCTGTTGGCAGGGTGCGAGAGCTCCATGAGTCGAGGAGAGGCCACTGCCTGCTTGGCTGCTGCTGACACAGGCCACTCAGGGGAACGATCTATGGCACTCTCAGAAGGGATTGTTTTTGGTCTAGCTAGTTCAAGTAGCCTTGGACTTGGGACTGCTTGCAGAGTAGTCAGAGGTATCTACAGAAGAACAGAAGTGCTGATTTTTGAACATGAGATTTATTCCAGAACATTTGTGAAAAAGCTAAAATACAAGATAAATCCGGCCCCAAAAGATTAGGATAGTGTTTCTCAACCTTGGCAACTTGAAGATGTCCGGACTTCAGCTCCCAGAATTCCCCAGCCAGCGAATGCTGGCTGGGGAATATTGGGAGTTGAAGTCCGGACATCTTCAAGTTGCCAAGGTTGAGAAACACTGGATTAGGAGCTACGGACTCTCCCCTTCCCTCAATAATCTCTGAAATCAAAATAGAGGCAAAGCTACAGAGAGAACTTCTGGCAGGATTCTGAAGGTAGCAGAATGAGTGTGACAGGTCCCAATAATAGCTGAATATGGGATTCTGTCAATCCCTCAGATGAATAAAATCACTTCAGAAAGATCTGCTGACTCTCCAAAGAGAAATGGATGAACTTTTTAAGTCACATTCCTCAGAGGAAGGAATTAAGTCAAGACTGCCTAGGTAACAGGATGGAAGACCTTGTTGGTGATCCATCTTATAGGCATGGCAGGAGAATAACAGAATAAAAGAGTTGGAAGGGGCCTCTTGGAGGTCTTCTAGTCCAACCCCCTGTTCAAGCAGGAGAATAACAGAATAACAGAGTTGGAAGGGACCTTGGAGATCTTCTAGCCCAATCCCCTGCTCAAGCAGGAGACCTTATATCTCTCAAGCACTGGGGAAATCAGAAGATTCAGGCAGTTCAAATGAGTATCAAAATTTATTGCACGCTTAAGTTCTCTGCAAGAATCTGAACTACTAATGGTCAAGGGAAATTTGTGGGAGTTAAGGATAGAAAGGAATTCAAGGTAAGCTGGACTTAGATCTCTTGTGGCTATGCAGTGACTTGTGACTTATGACACGTTTGACCCTTCCCTCGGACTCAGTCTGGCCATTTCCAACAATAACATTTCAGACAAATGGTATAGGGTCTCACTTATAAAAATGTTCACTTGGATGCTGTTTATTGAGCATTTACAGGAGTAGCAGTAATCAGGGGAGGGTGCCAGTAGCACCTACTTCTCTCCTCCTACGTCTTGCCTTCTATGGTGGCAGCCAGTGAGAAGTGGGAAAGGACAGAGGGTGTGGTCAGACATAGGAAATTTGGGGCATTATATTGAGATCTATTATACTGAGGCTTTTAACAAATTTATCTTTTAGCCATTTGTCAGAAATGGTATTCGGTCTCCTGCTTGAGAGGGGAGTTGGACTAGATGACCTATAAGGTCCCTTCCAACTCTGTTAAATCTATTAATCCTATGCATACAATGATAAACATTCATCCCTGGCTAACTTCAATATTAAAACTTCACACTTGAGCTCAGCAGTAAATCCTAGCTCTCTAGACCTTTGACTCTTTGTTCAGCCCTTGGATTGACTTGATAGAAGCTTCCCAGGCAGAATTCAGCTAAATTAGAATAGTTTATTACAAACAAATAAGCCTTAGACAAAACAGATTGCCTACCACAGTGCCAAGAAACAGAAATCAGGGCCTTTATATATGATATATATGATCAGATCTATGCTCTGATCTTTAAATAGTGCTTCCGTTCAACAAATACTAGCAAGTCTCTTGATGGCTTGGGAAGTTGTTGAGACCTATTTACATAATGGTTCTTTCCAGCTGGATAACTGGTTGACCCTACCTTGC